GGCTAATTCCAGATATCCCAGAGGGACTGATGGATGGCAAGAGCTCTGCAAGAACTGAATTACAAGTGTCCCAGCTGCAGCTGAGTAAGGATTTGACAGGGAATGCCTTGGAGATAGGCGAGTACCCATGTACAAAGTGTGAGAACAGCAATTTGCCAGCTGCAGGACTTGAGCTGGGAGATCCCTGCTCAGCATCTGAACTTGTGCCTAGTAGTTAGTTTCTCAGATGTGTTGCTCTTTCCATCGGCTCCACCTGGGAAGTGAAGCAGAACGTACTCTGAGTTCTGCCATTAAGGAATACATAAATAAACTTGAAATTTTAATTTTTTTACAGCAAGGTTCAACAATAAACTGACTTGAGATAGGTTTTCAGGGATTGCAACAGGCTGCAGTCTGTTTTCTGTTTCTAGTGCAAATCAAAGGAAATAACAATTTCTGTGATACATCCCTTTTAGTGCGGCTGACTGAGTTTGCTTCAGAACTTTTAGGAATCAGTATGACTGATTGATGGATGATCCTAATGTCAGTTGTCAGAAGAGTTAGTCTTGTTAACTACAGCTGGTAAATGTTTGATGTTACGTGCAGATTTTACTGCTGTGCTTGTGTGTGTGCATGCCTCTGTGAGCTGGAGTATACACAGGCTAGCGGTATACTTTTAAATGATCTTTGCACCTAGCTAATATTATTTCCATTTCTGAGTATGTAATGCTAGGAAATTTCTGTTTATCAAAGAGTCCCTTTTAAAAACCATAGCTTAGGTACACTAATTCTGGCAAATGCATTGTTACCATATTTTGGCAATGTGACAGATGTGGGCAGTTTAGCTTTTGATTAATATTCCAGATGTTGCAACTTCCTCAGAACTCACATTCTCCACCCAGCTGGCCAGTGATAAACAGTTTTCACAATCAAAATCATTTGCCAGGTTGCCTTGGGCTTCCTGAGAAGGAAACTTGAAACTGAATTCTCTTGATTAGTGTGTCAGAATGCTTAAAGTCAGTAGGATGTTTTAAAAATGTGATAGGTGTCCTGAACAGAATGGACTTTCACAAGTTGCAAAGCGTCAAAGTTTGAACAGGAAAAATGAAACTACTACTGACTTTTCCCAGTTTCTAAGCTGGTTTTTTTTTTTTTTTTTTTTTTTTTTTATATGTGGGTTTTTTTGGGGGGTTTGTTGGTTGTTTTTTTTTGTTTGTTTGTTTCCTATGAGATTATCTATACCTTCATGCACAGGACAGCTTTTTTCAAAATCTGAAAACTGATACTGTGTAACAGGGCATAGGAAAGGTATTAGAAAAGTTTGTGGAGCATGATGAAATGGTGAAATTTGGTAATGCAGCCTGCAGGCTGTTAGAAAAGCCAACATGCATCTGAAATTGGTGGCTTAATTCTTAATTCTGCTCTTTTTCAGTTCCCTAAATAATCCTTTTGTAGGTTGCCTTGTTAACTCTGAACACTGAGCAGTAGAAAGACAACTTATCTGTGCAATTGTGTACCTGAAAGCTTTTGCAATACAGAACAAATGCATTTACACCTCTGCTGAAGTAAGTCTGAGAAGGTGGTTTCTAGCAAAATCATGAATTTATTTCATCTACATGTTTTTACTTCCAGGTCTGTTGTTCTTCAAGGCCTTGTTTAGAAATGGACTTGCATTCTTACTATGAAAAGCCATTGCAGTGTCTCAGTATTGATGCATGTAAATTTATTGATATTTAATTTCTGAATCTACATTACATAATATGTGATGTGAATTTAGATAAATTTCTATCCACCTTTCAAAAATATGCTCAAAAATCCCCATCTCTGTATTTTTCCTGCTTTAAGTCATTTGAGTTAAAACACTATTAATTAACTAGTGGTCAGTGTGTACACTGACTCTGCATTTCTTTGCTTAAGGGTGTAAGAATGAGACTCAACTGTTTGACTGGCTCAGTTACAACATAATTCAAGGAGTCTTCTTACTTTAAATATGTAAAGAAAAGGTCTATGTCAAAAGTTTGGCAAAGTTTGGTTGTGAATCATTTTTTTAAATAGACCAAGATACATTATGAGGTATAAAAGTGCAAGTGGGAAGTGCTACTTTTCTGAAGTAATATGCTTTGTAACTTCTCTGCTTCAGGTTTAAAGCATGGTGCATATAGATGTCAGTCTGTGTGGTGAGTGTGAACATAGTATATGTACCTATTTCTAAAATTTAATCTGCAGAAGGCGAGAGATGAAGTGGTACTGCAGCATGTATGCAGAACAATTTAAGGTTTAGACAAGTTATCTTGAGTTCTGAGCTATATAGAATTTACAAAGCCAAACTCTGGCAAATTCTGAGGATAGCTTCTTAATGAGCTAGAAGTCCTCATTAAGAAATCTAACAAACCCCTCCATACACTGTTCTCTCATCCAGAGGGTATCTTGCCTGCTGAGAACTGTCCATATGTGGACACTAGATAACATGACACTTTTAATGGGCATAAGATGCTAGGAGGAATTTCTTCTGACTTTCTAATTCCTCATACAACATATTTAAATCAGCAGAGTGGCTGCATGCCATTTCCCCAAATCATGGACTGCTGCTTTCCCAGTGGTGACCGTATCTCAGTGGTTCTGTTTCCTTATATCCGTACCAAAGAGTTTTAAACTGAAACACATGACTATTTGTGATCAGTACTAGGTGCTAAGGTACTGCGCTCTTTCTATATTTGGTGCACTTTTCCAAGTGCACCCATAAGTATGGTGTACTTTGAATTGTGAATTTATTCTATTGCAAGCTTTCTCTCAAAAGAGTTGCAGTCTGAACTTACATGCAAATTTTAGCATGTGTTTGTAATTTAAAACACACTACAAGACAGGATATTAATGTAATTTAGATTTTGGATTATTATTAGAGAAGTTTAATTCAGAAGGGAAGTGGTATCTAAGTATGAAAGGAAGCACTATTAACTAGTAAGCAGGTGGGCTATTCTTGTTCACCTTCCTGTGCTGGGTGGGAATATCATAATTGAAAGTCCTTGCATTGTGTGCCTTACAGTTGAAAGCTGTTCTTGCTCATTTCAAGATTTTACTGATTTACCACTGAGTGAAAGGTTATGGTTGATATTTAACCAGCCAGCCTTTGGGACTTTTTCTGGCTAAAAAGAGTAAATAATGCAAGTATGAAGATGTGTTTTGGAAAGGTGTTTTGTAGTCTCACTGAGAAAGAAATTTTGAACCTGGAAAAATATAAAAAAGATGAAACATTTGCCTAGTTTGATAAATTTAGCTTTCAGTAGGTAGGTAAAGTGCTATATTTACCAGTATGTGAATACTTCTACTGGTTTGGAGAAAGGTGTTTTTCAGAGACTTTATCCTTCCTTTAGGGTGAAGGAGGCAGGAAGGGGGGGCCTCAGTATAATTATCCGGATTAGCTAGCCAGCCTAGAGCAGTCAAGATCAAAACCTAAAGCTGAGCTCTGCCTTTGTTCAGTGAACAGTTCTTCTTACTTCCTGCATCTGCTTTGCTTTTGACAGGTGCTAAGTCCTGATGAGCTCAGGCAATGTTAGGCCATCAATTATGGATGACAAGTTTCTTTGAGGCTTGTGTATAAGCATTTGTTATGAGGTTGTGTGCGGGTTTTTCACCTCATGCAAGAGGTGACCCTCCAAGCACAGCAAGAACCTCGTGGACTTTACTGAGCTACCTGAGGGTTAGGTGATGTCAGGCATAAGTCAATGCCTTGCTTAAATGAGAAGACCAGAAAAAAATGTTTTAGAAAAACAGAAGATGACAGAATTGTTAATTAATGGAAGAATTGATAATTATTCATCACCATTATGCAGCACAACTCTATGGAGAAATGCAAATCTTCCAGTTATCATAGAAAACGTCTTCTGCATGAGGAGAAAGAAGGGGAGTGGAAATCTGTTTTGCATGTCTGGCATGAGGTCCTTACCTTGTTCCTTTGCATTCCCTATGGTGCCTTGGAACCATTCATTCATGTGTGTTTAAGGAGTTTGTGAAAGCCTGGTGGTTATAATGACACTGTGCAGTCCAGAGTTGGCCTGAGTTCAGCTGCACTTGAAAAACAGGCAATCAATATTTGCTAAACTCTAGTTGCCAAACTGAACCCTGACTTTTGAAAAGTCCACAGTTAATTACAGGGTCTGCTGGATAGAGGTACTTATGGGTTGAATCAGATATAGAAAGAGGAGACATTTAAGTTTCTTCTCAGACAAATGAAAGAGTGAGCATAAAGCCTAAAGTTACTTTTCTGCCTTGGCAGGAGCAAAAGGAATACTTGTGTTTTGAAGTTGGAGGCTGGAGGGAGTGATCTTCGCAGGACATCACATACTTTGTTAACACCAGTACATTATCTTCACCTCCCTCCCCACCCTGGATTCAAAATAGCTTCAGGAGAGGAAGAGACTTTTGTGCAGTTCAGCTTATCAGATGACTTGGAAATGTACTGCCTTCAAAATACAGAATTCTGACTTGCTAGTTCAGTTTCCCTGATGGATGTTTGATCTTCTCATCTGCTGTTTGTTGATCAGACTTTGCAGTTCTAATTTTTAATGTGCTGCAACTACTGGGTGCTACAAAGGGCCTTGTTAGGCAGTGGTTATTGAAGCGATGTGGAAGATGCACCACCAAAGTATATAATAGTATGGTAGGAACTTGCTGCTTTCCTGTACAACTGTCTGTGACTGTCCTGTGCAGTTTTCTGCACTCTTGTGGTAAATGGGTTTTCTGCTTACTGTAATGGGGAAAAATACCGACTTCTAAAAGGGATTCATACCTCTCTGACAGCTGGTCAGATTCTCACTGAATCCTTGGAGGGAGAGCAATTTTCACCCCTTGATTTCCTCTTTACATGGCCAGTGTGTGGCCATTGAGTGCTGTAGGAAATGAAACCCATATCTCCCATTACCTGACTACTCCACATACCTCTCCAGCATTGTACCTGTGACTTTTGAAGTGTTTGTTCTAGCACTCCTACAACACTGCTGTATGTTTTCTGTGCTCTTGTATAGAAGAAGCTGAAACCAATTTTGAGGGAATTGAGAGCAAGTTTTCCTTACGGACGCCTGCAGAGCCTGATGAGGATGTCTGCTACCTGGTTCCTGGGCAGGAGAACAGCCTGGCACAGTGCAACTTCAATCATACCAGTAAAACCTTTGTGGTGATCCACGGGTGGACGGTAAGATGAAGTGGGAGGAATCTCCCTTTTAACCACACTCCTAATTAAGTGTGCTGAGATGTCTGTACTTCACAAATCATGTTAATATATCTCCTTTTTTATTTAACACCCCCCTCAAATCAACAGGTGACTGGAATGTATGAAAGTTGGGTCCCAAAGCTGGTGGATGCTCTGTACAAGAGGGAACCTGATTCAAATGTCATTGTGGTGGACTGGCTAGTTCGAGCTCAGCAGCCCTATCCAGTGTCGGCTGCATACACTAAGCTGGTGGGAAAGGATGTTGCTATGTTTATTGACTGGATGGAGGTAAGACATGTAGACTGGTCTCATACTGTACCTAGTGACCTAGGAGACAAAACAGCAACAATGCGGCTGTGTTAATCATTTGCTGTTGGGTAGATGGAGATAAACTGTTGCAGACAGTCCTTTTGTCGGACTGGTAAAATCCTAGCTTTAATTTACTTGTTATCTCTTACTCACAGAGGTCTTTTTTTGCAGTGCATTCCAGAAACTTCAGCTTGTGGTCTGTGGAGCCCTGTGAGCCCACAGTATTTCTGAAGGCTCTGTCAGAGCTAGCTATGAAAGACAGTTTTCTATATATTACACAGCAGCCAGCCCTTTGGGAAACAGATGCCTCCCCTGCCTTTGGGAGACCCAGAAACTGGTGGGGAGGGTGTGACTGAAAACATTTGATATCATACACAGTCCTGTGTTCTGTCCTTCATTCTGCATTCCTCCCTGCTTAGATTTTGCCATAAGTTAGTTAGCTCAAGCATATTTATGGCACAAAATTATTGTGACTCTGTATAGTGTTTCTGCTGCTATTCATAGCTCAGAGGAATCCCAGTATTAACAAAACATTTTCTTTCATGTCTTCTGATGTGTTCGCATTTGGCTTCAAAGTTTGAACAACTTTTTCTCTTCTGCAGGAGCAATTCAATTATCCTCTCAACAATGTCCACTTGCTGGGGTATAGTCTAGGTGCTCATGCTGCTGGGGTTGCTGGGAGCCTGACCAAGAAGAAGGTGAACAGAATTACTGGTAAGAAAACCCATGACTGTAGAGTGGAGAGTCCCATCTCTTCCATGCTGAAACATGTACCTCTGGAAAATCATAGGAATAATTGTTGCTTGTTGGCAGTATTGGGTTATGTGTTCATGCTTTATTGAAATAGGAGGGCTGATATTTCTGCAGTAGAACTGGAGTGGGTTGAGGAAAAAAACACCAAAGGTGGCAAGTGAGAAGCCTTGATTTGCTTCTTCACAAGAAATTAGTGAGTGGGCCTTGATAAGAGAGTTGAGGGGAATGTGATTGAGACTGGCCAAATCCACGGCTTGGAGAAAGTCACATTATTACTTGCAGCATGAGAACTTTGGCTGGTTGTCTTCATCCTGATGGTCATTCCTTGCAGCTGATGGAAGCCATTCAAAAAGAACAGGAGGTAAATCCTGCTGCAGCAGGTATAGTACCTGCAGAACTCTTTGCCATGGGATGCTGCAGATGCAAGAAGTTTCTATGGGCTCAAAGGGAGATTGGACCGATAATCAGAAGAGGTCCACTGAGGGTTATTAAAAAATTAAATTGATTAATATTGACAGTTTTGGGAAGGTGAAGGAAGCATATATTCACTTGCCTTGTTTCTATGTGTGCTTAGATAGCTGGTTAGCCTGATTTTTGGAGACTGAGAAGTGTGCTAGGCAACACAGAGTGCCTGGCCACTCTGGGGCTGGTTTACAGCCCAGCACTTGGATAGCTGAGCACCTAGCACTGATCTTGGTGACAAAGGAAACTTGAACATCAGCAAACAAGGCTAAGAAAATTGCTCATCTGTGGTGTTTTGCTGCTGAGAGAGCTTGGGAGCTGCATTTAAATGGGTGCCTAACTCCTGACACCCTTTGTCCTTTCACCTGAGCCTAGCTGTGATCCCAGATCCACAGGCATGCTGAGAGAGGTGGCCTAGGCAGCATTTGTGTCCGGAAATGTTGACTCCTGAGAGGTGGCAGATTAAAACCAAAAGGCCAAAGTACTAGTCTGTCTACCCTTCCTTTCTCTCAGCTGCAGCTTTGCTGCTTTCACTGAAGCTACCAAATCACTGAAATGCCAGTAGTCTTTTGTTATGCCTTCACAGTTGCTCTTGGTGCCCTGGACGAACCTTTTCCTGTGAAAGCAGGGTCACCTTTGAGCACAGGGAGCAATGTAGTGTGGTCCCTGCAGCTCTCACAGTGGAGGGGAGGGTATCTGAGACTAGGTGAAACTAACAGTGGGTGAGCAACCCAGGTGCCTGTGTCTAGCTGAGAGCTGCAGAAAAGACACATCCCTTCAGCTCTGCCTTCAGGCATCTCTCACGTAGTTGTCTGGATTCAAGAGATAGTACATGTTCACTGGCAGAATAGCTCTGGGTGTTTCTGATGTCAGTGTAGCTGCAGCTTAACAGTTTACAATAATAATCCCCTTCCCCTTAGGCATACTGAAGCTCTCGTTTATGTTTCCCACTTGTTCCCCTGGCAGGGAGTTCTCAGCAAGACATTTTCCATGTTTCAGATACAAGTTTTACAATTCTTGACAAGAGAAGAAGACATTGAGAAAATAATTGAGCTTCTTTTTTCTATCTACTGGAAATGCTACAGCTCCGAGGAAGTTATCTGGGCTTCGTTACATATATTTGAATACAGTTTATTTTTTTAAACATTGACAGCATTTTGATATGGTGCATTTGATTCTCGTGTACACATGAATGATACTTAAGGGATCCCACTATGTCTACAGGAAAACCAACATCATATGCAATACTCCAGCCTGATGTGATGGCTGAGTTTGGCATTTGTTATTGATACCAGTGTCTTTGGCAAAAAGTAATCTCAGTTTTTACTTGTGATTTTCCCCATAAAGGACTGGATCCTGCTGGTCCTACCTTTGAGTATGCTGATGCCCTCACTCGTCTCTCCCCGGATGATGCTGACTTTGTGGATGTCCTACACACCTACACTCGAGGCTCTCCAGACCGCAGCATTGGGATCCAGAAGCCTGTTGGACACATTGACATTTATCCCAACGGTGGAGGTTTCCAGCCAGGTTGCAACTTGGGAGAAGCACTCCGTCTGATTGCTGAAAAAGGCTTTGGAGGTGAGATTGCTCTGAAACAAATAGTATAACATTCAAAGGGAGATCTTTAATAGCCTTGCAGGTTTCTTGCAAGCAAAGGTCTCTGAGAGGCACAGGAATGTTTTCTTTCAAGTGCTTTTAGAAGTCATCCTATAAAGCCCAGCTCTCGTGGATTGTGCCTGCATTGCTTAGGGGTTTATATTATTATACGCATGTATATACATATTACACATTTTCATTCTTTCAAGATGTGGATCAGTTGGTGAAATGTTCCCATGAACGTTCCATCCACCTCTTCATTGACTCCCTCCTCTATGAAGAGAAGCCCAGCATGGCCTACCGCTGCAACACAAAGGAGGCCTTTGACAAGGGTCTCTGCCTGAGCTGCCGCAAGAACCGCTGCAACAATTTGGGTTACAGGGTCAACAGAGTGAGAACAAAGAGAAACACCAAAATGTACTTGAAGACTCGTGCTCAGATGCCCTATAAAGGTAAGTCCTGCTTGCTTACAGGTGAGCAAGACGGGTACTTGCGCTCAGCTGTGTGCCATGGTGAGTGTGTGCCACAGGTGACAATATTGCTGGTTTGGTGCCTGTGGGTGAGCAGAGGTGAAGCTTGCCTGTAGTTTGCTATTGAGTGCAAGTTAAACTACAGTCTCAGAAAACAGTGCCATCTTACTCAGGGTGTGGAGGTGGGGCGTAGAGTAGAAAATAGTATTTTGTAACAAGTAGCAAAATTAGTAAGACCTACTCTATAGATGGGAACAACTGAGTCTTCCAAACTGTTTCAGTACGTTTCATCCAAACGAGTTTTTCCTACTGTTGGAAGAATAATCAGCAGAGTTCAGTCTGACAAGCAACGTAATTAAAAATGTTACCATCAGACATGTGCCTTTTGTAGTGCTCTTGCCAGAGGAGCACTAGCCCTCATTAATATATCACAGCACTTCTTGATTTCAGTTGCAACAGTGGTAGGTCTGAGAAGGACACTGCCAGAGAACTGCAAGGCTTTCAGCTAGGGAAATAGCTTCTGAGTTGGATTTTACTGCTTTGTATTTTTTTCTCCCAAGTTCTGCTTGTACCCCATGATACGCTTACTGTGTGTGTTGTGTGATGGACCAGCAATCAGAGGGCACAATCCTGCAGTGTTAGAACAGCTGCAAGACTGGTGTTCTTTTGGCTTTTGGTGCTTAATCTGCAGTGTCAGTGGGTTGATTTTTGTTTTCACCAAGGGTTGTGTATGAGGGGGGCACAGCTCACTTGATTCAAGTCACGGACAGCAAGTCTTACACATTCAATAACAGGTGTGAAGGTGATACTGCAGACTGGGGTTATTATAGTGGCAGCTTGAATACCGAGTTTAGTTGCAAGAACTGTGAAGGTGGTATTTTAATGGTGATTCCTTTGCATACTAATGTTTACCGCCTCATAAAAATAGTTCTGCAGGGCACTACTCTGTTTAGTGAAGCTGGCATATTCCAGCCCCAGATTTTCAGAGATGGAACTGGGGGGCTTTGTCACTAGCAGTCTCTTTGGAGGCTGAGTTTTCCTAACAGTAATTTCTTCTTGCATTTTTCCAGTCTTTCATTACCAGGTCAAGATCCATTTCTTTGGAAAGACTAATATGACCAAGACAAGCCAGCCATTCCTGATATCTCTCTATGGGACTCTAGCTGAGAGTGAGAACATTGCTTTCACACTGTGAGTAGCTACAGAAACAACCACAATGTACTGTTGGGTTTACCTAAAAACGTTAAAGCCCCAGCTGAAGAACTTGCTCTAGCTCTAGATTTCTATGGAAATCTTACAGGGTCCCAGAATCTGCACTTGTCCTTGATCTATGGGATGTATCCACTTTGGAAACTAATGAACTTAGCCCTACAGGAGCTCTTCTTGATAAGACATCTGAAATATGGATATGTGAAGTCTGACCTATGACTCAGCCTAATAAGAGTTTTTCTGGTGTGGCAGTTTTCTTTTCTTTCAACTATGTTAAAGCTTCTTAAAAACAGACTGCAACATGAAGTTCATTGTCTGAGGGATCTAAAGGCCTCAGTGCAGAAGCTGAGGTAGCCATGGAATTTGCTTTCACAGCTATGCAAATAAGCAGAAGTTTGTGTATACATCCCTGCACATGGACTAGCAGGGAATGGGGCTGGAAAGCACCAAACTCTTATTTTATGCTGAGAGGAACTTAGGCTGTTTCTGGGTGGTGCTTGTCTGAGAGTCACCAGTATTGAAGAAGACACCCTTTGCCTGTACATTATCACAGAATTTTACCAGCCTTGCTGCAGAAAGCTTTTCTTTGTGCCTCTACAAAAGCTTAAGGCTATTTTTTCCTTGTTCCATCCATCAGAACTGTGGAGAATGTTACTTCCTCCTTCTCTGGAATACAGAAAGTCCCAGTTCTGTTGCTCCTTAATTTTCTGTATCTGTTCAACAATTTCAAGATTTTTTGTTTCTTTTTCCTTACTCTCCTTCCCACAGGCCTGAAGTGTCCTCAAACAAGACCTTCTCCTTCCTGATTTACACAGAAGTGGATATTGGTGACCTGCTTATGCTGAAGCTGCAGTGGGAGAAAGACACCTTCTTCAGCTGGTCAGACTGGTGGACTCCTTTTACATTTGACATCCAGAGAGTCAGAGTGAAGTCAGGAGAAACTCAGAAAAAGTAACTTGCTTTGATTGTTATAAAGCCATAGTACTTTTAATTGACAGTGTTTCCTGATTTCTGGTATCTCACAGGGTGTGACAGACATGGTAAGCAGTTACAAATGGGTGCAACACTGATAATCAGGGCTCCAGTAGCATGAAAGCACTGTTTATCATCCAGGTTCAGTGGCTTGCTTCCATGGGGATCTGCAATTTGGAGTTTTACTTCCACGTAATTAATTTGCATTCCACTGTTTCATCTGCCTCATGTTAGCTATAATATGCAGTAGAGTGTCTCCATGAATCAGCACCAATGATAGTGTTTGTAATTTTTCTTTTTCTTGCTGGATATTTGCATATGTTTTCTTGCAAAAAGCATGCTTAGAAGGACATTTTTAGAAACTCTTCCAAAAGTGTTTGCACAAGAAATTATTGCTTTGGAAAGCTGGATTTCTTAGGAGCTGAATATCTGAGTGGTGGGTGGAAACTGAAACATATGACTGTTGCAGGACATTGCTAATGCGTGAATGTTGAAACATCAAAGTCTGAACAGAACTGCTTTGACGTGAATCTTTTGAAATGCTCATTTTCACTAGATATGAGGTCTTTTAGCAGAACATAGACCCAGACCAGCGTATGTGTGTCCTGTGTACAGTATTGTAAATAGTAAGTTCCTCCTTTAAATAAACAAGGCAGTCACTTGATCAAAGAACAGTTATCAGAGCTGAACAAATATAGGGGTGGGGAAAGTACTGATAAATAGAAAAGCAGCTGCTCAGGTTTGCTGGAATTGGCAACCTGCTTCTGTTTGTGAGCATTTGAGGGAGTAAGGCTTTCTTCCAAGTTCATTTACCTGACAAAAAAAGTTGTACAAGGACTGGTGTAAACAAAGATCCAAGAGATTCTGGGATAGAGCTTCTAGTGCCTTAGTCACAAGAAGATTTTATGTAAAGGATCAGTGAAAGTTACAGCTATTGTTTGATGTCCATGCACAATACATTTACCAGTTCTTCTTGCACAGTGTTTGTTTTGTCAGAGAATTATCTTATAACAAGTAATTTTCTCACAGGCTTGTAAAGCAGTGGTGCCCCACATGATGAAGGTACATAGACTGCTTCCAAGCACCAGTCTCATTTTTAAAGTTAAAAAGAGATGTCTGACTCAGTTATGTGATTTTTCCAATATTTATTCCACAGAGTGGTGTTCTGTTCTCGAGACGGCACCTCACGTCTGAGTAAGGGAGAAGAGGCAGCAATATTTGTTAAGTGCTTGGAGCAGCCTGTCAACAAGAAGAGAGAAGGGTATGAGTGATCACTACTGCTTTTGTATGGATGGGAACTTGAGTGGTAATAAAACTTGCTTGTTAGTTGACTTGTGAACTTGTCTTCTCAAGGATTCAGAAGCATCACAACTCAGACTAACCAGAAGTTTGCTTATGGCAGCTTCAGCAACTTTGCAATTCCTAATTTGCTTCTCTGCTAACCGTCTCCTTGTGTGGTTAGCAAGTCTGAAAAGAGAATGTAAGTCACTGCCTCTTACATTCACTCGGTGGCCAAGTATGAATGTCTGTTAGACAGGGTTTACAGACAAGGCACTAGCACAAAAAGGAAAGCATGCTTCTATCTAAAGATGCCTTACAGCTACCCTTAGTTGAAGAATATTCAAACACCCATAGTGATTCAGCCCAGAGCCCTCCCTTCTCACTGGCCAGCAGCAGATCTGGAGGCTGGTACAGAGCAGGCATATGCAGGTGCTCTCCTTGGCACACTGCTTTCTGCTGGCAGCCATCAGGTGAGTGACTCCCTGAGATTTTCACTTTCAAGTGTGAGGCCAGTTTTCTTTGGACTTTATCCACTAAAGTTTGAGATAGAGAAGTGGTTATATTTATTTTAGTTCAATTGCTGTGTGTGAAAGGTCTCATGGGGACACTGCTAGGCTCAGATCTAGCTCTGCATAAAAATGCATGTTCTGGCCTTTGCTCCCAGGCAATGACCTGGAGAGGCCTTGAGAGCTTGTGTAAAATCAAGCAGAAGCTAGGAGAAGCTCAAGCACTAATTTATTTTCATGTTACATAGGGTTTTTTAAAAAAATCTGAATTCTCAAAAATAAGTCAAATATGAACAGGAATCTTACATCTTCCTCATCACCTCATGCACATTTTTTTCCCCCCACAGTGCCAAGAAAGCCTCTAAAGAAAATTCTGCTCATGAATCTGCTTAAGTGATGAGAATGAAGATTTTCACACTGGGGAGGAGGAAAGTCTGTTCATCCCTGTGGACTGGATGTGCAGAACCAAATATATAGAAATATTTATCTGCTGCTGGCTTTTGGCTTGCTATTCCTAGCTATGTTAGGAGACTTCTTGTAAGAGAGTCTCAGCATACAAAGTTACTAACCATAAAAATACATTATTCAAATAGTTAAAAACAAAGAAACCTGCAAAAAAACTTGCCAGTGTCTTGAGTGCAGAGAAGTAATAAGTAATTTGCTTAATTGTGGTGCCCTGTGACAAAGTTGCTTGACATCAAATCCTCTATAGCAGTTCTTTAGTATTTATTGAAAAGAAGCAAAGCCCTGTACCTGTTTTTGTTTTTTTTTTTTATTCTTTTCAGAAGTCTTTTGAAACTGGACAGAGTTTTTTTCTGTCTTGGTTAACTGAACTTTTAGGCAGCTCAGTGGCTAGAGTTCATTGTCTTCAAGTGCGTGTTTAGCAAATTAGGTTTCTCATGTGAACAAACTGTGTGTTACTAGAAGGTGTCAGGGACTGACTTAATATGGGGATGAATTTTTTAGTTTGTGGTTATGAATGTATTTTACTCGGAGGTAGATGCCAGTGCTGCTTAGGAATAGGTATGATCTGTTAAGCTATATATTTCTTTGCAGCTTACCCTGGGATAACAGTTGTAGAAGAAGGCAGCAATACCAGTGTCCTATGCAGACATTTAACACTTCATCTTGCTTTCAGTTCTTGAAAATGAAACCATCTTGACTCCAACATTGTGAATAACGAACTGCAGAGGAATTGAACTACCAGAAAATGCAGGAAATAGATTTCTTTTTCCTTTTCCTCCCCCTGCACTTACTTGCATTCTGTATGCCAAAAGCTGTTTCTCTGCTCTTAGACACCAACTGTAGTCATGCAGCAGAGTGGCTGCTGTGTGCAGTTTTTGGTGCAAGTGAACCCACTTGACAGGTGACAAGCATGCTCACTTTTCCCTGTATTGGAATTGTGACTGCTGGTGACCCACCTCAGTTCATTGCTTGGCTGTGATACAGTGCTAGGAGCTACTTGGTTTTCTGACATGAGATGGAATTCACCAAGGAGCAGGAGCTGTGCCAATTAAAAGGAGCCTGATTGTATGCTGCACAAGAATGAGTGCTGTGAAAAACACCGGAATTAGACATGCTTCAAGTTGCAAAACATAGTCATATTGAAGTAATTCTGATTCCCTGTCTGTTAGTAATGTGTAGTTTTTCTAGTGCACTGAAAGGTGCAATAGACCTCCTGTAGCTTTCCAGAAGACAAACAATATGGGGGAGGTAAGGTAGAAACTTGGAGAAGTGTAGTGTGAGCTACTGATGCTGGGTGTTGTATTCTCTTCCTGCATGTGCAAGACAGTGTGGAGATGATGATTCCTCTGTTATCATCTGATCTTGAAAGCAAAACAAAGATGTATGTGTTCATGTGCACAGCTTGATTTTTTTTTTTTCAGCTGTAGCTGCTAGTATGTTTGGGGATAAAAGTCTTGGTGCAATATGCTGAAATATTAATAGCCCTGAAATTGCTCACATCTGATTTCCTAACCCTTAAACTACAGCAGAGATGTGATGAGTCACTGAGGGTGGGGTTGAGTATTGAGCCACTGCATTTGAGACCTCTAAAAATAAATATAATGATTTATTCCCTATAGATTCCACATGTTGTTGCAATTTTTGCTTAAGAGTTAAATTCTTGGAAACAAAGTATCTGAACAGCTGTGCTTTTAATACAGGATCAAATACAAACACATTTAGAACTTGGACATAAAATCATGAAGTTTCTTTTCATGAGGACACATGATTTAGTTCTGAATGTTATTTATTAGCTGTAAATAAAATATTTATGAGTGTAAAGGTAGTTTGTATATATTGCTAAAGTTGCTGACAGTCTCTACGTTAATGTAGTTGTGTAGTATTAATCCTGTATATAGCTTTCAGAGGTTTTTATCAACAAGCCACTTATACTGCGTTATTTCCTACATGGCTGATACTTTTTTAAAAGAAAGCTCCTCAGTTTTGTATAGAATGGAAAATTCTGGTTTTAATAAAGTTATCAAACTCATGCTGAAGTCACTACTTTGCTTTTGATGAAACAATCTGCTGTATAACTTCTATGTGAAGGCCAGAGCCTTTCCTTGGATTCTGGTCTAAAAAGATGGGATGAGACACTTCTTTTCTTTTAATTTTTTTTTTTTAAGAAAAAGCTATATGTCATTTTTGTCCCCTTCACCCCTCTCCATTTCATTTTGGGAAATGCAATAATCATGTATTATGACAGCAAGGACTCTATGTGAAAACAAGTATCTGTCTTCACAAGAGAAGTAGCTAGTCAGCTGCAGTTTGCTTTTCAAGTTTCAGGCCCTTTTAAGAATAGTTCTTACTTTGAAAGTCTCATTTCTTCTTTTTTTCTTTTGAGAGGCAAATGTCATAACTATGTCATAACATGCTAGCGAACATGTTTTACCAAAATGGAGATGTTCTGACTATGTGTTACCACCACTACTGCTTAAAGAACTAACAGTGAAAAAATCACTTTGACCCATGTGTTACAAGTGCAGCTGAACTGAAGAATGGTTGTCACCAGAACAGTGTGTTCTGTCATACACAGCAAGTCTCTACAAAGACAGTGGAATGGGATTGTCAGAATTAAGGAGAATTGTAGTGACAGGTGCATAGGGGTCCATATTAGGAGTATTTAGAGCAGCTGAGTTGACTTGGGAAGCTCTGCTTTCAATGCTCTTGGTTAAAGGTAACTGCTAGGTGATAAGAACAGAGCTTCACTCCCTGTGAAAGCGGAGGAAAGCTCTGCCATGGAAAATGAATGGGTGAAGAGCATGAATGGAGGGAGAGGGATGAAACAGGGCATGGGCGGTACTGGAGGGGGAAGGGTGGGTAGGGAGTACCCTGAGGAAGAGGGAGTAACACAATCTACAGAGTGGAATGCATGCAAATGCTGGCAGCAGATGGTCTAAGGACACTATGGTGTTTTCCCTGTGTCAGTCTCTGGACTGGGGGACTAGAAGGGCTTCTACAGTTGTACAAGACAAGGTCTGTGATCACATCCCAAAACACTGTGATATTACTACTTGTTTAAAGTAGCAGCAACCTCACTACACTAAATGTGTTACTGGTTAAAGCAGAGAAAGTCTGGTGCAGGATCATGAATCCAGGTCTTTCCTGTGAGCCTTTAGAGCTGTCTCTGACACTGTTACTCTTGTATCTTGCTCTGAAATAGCTAGCCATATCAGAAAAGGTGATGGTCCCTGCTTACCCTGTCAACTGTCTCTGGAACAGGTTGGGGGGGACATATTGTCCCAGGGCCAGCTGGTAGTTTGAACAAGCAGAAAGATACATTCTTGTCTGGAAGGAAAGGGTGAGAAAAAGGGTTCTAGCCAATGTACCTGCAAGGCAAGGAAATCCTGACTTAAGTTCCTAGTACCTATATTTTAATCGTATGTTTTTAATTCTGAGAAATGTTTGGAACCAGCAGTGAATTTTCTTGCTGCAGGTGTCTCCATGCTTTCTCCATTCAGACATAGTTGTACCTCTGCTGTTTTGTGAATGAAAAGTCAGAAGCTCTCATGAGCAGGACATTGCAAATGTGTTGTTTCTAAAAGTGGTAAAAAACAGAGATGGAAAAAAAAATTCAGTAAGAGAGAAGAACTAAAGTAGTTGTAATATTTTTCTTTTTATTTACAGCTGTCAAGGCAGGGCTCTCCATATTCTGACTGCCAATGCAAACATAGCAATATTAAAATCCTCAGGTCCAAAGGAACCAATCCAACTGCCATCAAGTCATAATTCAGGAAAGCAATTTCCATCTTCTCTCACTGCATACTTCCAGAAAAGTCTTCTAGTAAAATGTCTTTTGTAGCAGGTCTGGAAAGTCACTGGTTTACACATATACAAATGGATTAGCTTTCTCCAGTGACTGAAGGAGAACAAGGAAATGGGAAGAGGAAGGGAAGGGAACCATTTGGCAGAACATACCATGTAGAGCTTGTCTCAACAATGCCTTTATGTCCATGTGTGGTGCTATCTCTGATCAGCAACACTCAAAATGCTTCCCTAAATCAGTTCAAGTTAACTCAGCCAGAACAATACATCCACATCAGAAACACACATGCTAAACAGGGACCACTTTGGATATAGCAGGTGTTAGCGTGTGGGTGCAGTGTATATTCAATGACGTAATCTCCCAGCCATTCATGTCAGATAAACACTATGTTCTTCATTGTAGGCCCTTCCTGTGGGAAGTAACCTGATATTGTTAGTCTCACTTCTGGCCAGTGACTCTGGAGAGTATCTGTTGGTGTTCATCACCCCACCATGTTGAACCATTCAGTGAGCAGTAAAACAGGCTGGCTGCCCATGTGTCTGACCTCAAAAGAGCCAGGAAGTGAGGACGTCTCATGTTGTACCACCTGCCAAAGGTTTTCTTTTTAACCCACAATTAGCTATAACACTGGAATCTTCTACGTAGTGAAGCAAGGAAACTAGGAGGAGTAGGAAGAGATTCCCATTATAGAACAGGTTGTAAAGATGCTAAGAATATCCACAATTTTGAAAGAAGCATTAAAGACACAAAAAGATGTCAAAAGTTTTCCTTGCCAGGTCCTCAGGCTTTTCTCAGCCCTTGCTTTCTTTCTGGCATGCTGAATTCAGAAGCTTTTGGGGTTTGCTCCCCCAGAATGAGAAATTGCTACTGCACAGGACTCCCTTAACACTTGGAATTAGAAACCTCTCCCATGGATGACTGTGGATGTAAGGAGAAGGCTATCAGTCTTGGTGAAAGGGCCAACTCTGCCCTCAGTGAGAGGCCTAACCAAAAACTCCACCAAGGCTGGAAAAAGTCTTTGCTGACCATGTGGGATTTTCCTAGCATGGGCTCTCAGTTTTTAAAATGAAAGCACAGCTCAAACTTTCTTGCCTTTGCTCCTCTTATGTGTTGTTACCAAACTGAGTGCATACAATGTCAGATCATGATCTGCTCAGGCACTAGGTTAGTACCAGCTCTTGATGACTTCTCACAAATATTCCCAGCATCTCTTGGACAGTACAAATTTGCTTATCTATGGGATGCCAGAACAAACAGCATAATTGCAATGGTGTAAATAGCACACAAAATTAAAACAAACAAACAAACTAATAAAAAGAACAACCTGAGAGAAAAACATACACAGTACCTCATTTAATACTGAGAGGCTTTTGTAGGAAGGTATGAGACTAAGACAATCCCAAGCAAACTTGAGTTTCCCTTGTCCTTCTTCTTGCAGGCATGCCTGACATTCCCATGGGCAATGGGAGCCATCTCAGGGG